CTTATTTCGGACCTCTTTGGAACCCGGTAATCAATGAATAGTCTTTTCCTCCACGTGTCTTGCTTTCATCATGAGCGTCTTTTCTCGCGTTCCACTGTTTCACGCAAACGACTAAACCAACATCTTCAAGCGCTTCTTCAAGCGCTTCGCTGGGTGTTCAACTGGATTCAAACTTGCTTCTGTTTTTCTCGCGAGCAAGAGAGAAAGATGTCGTTTAGCAACAACATCAGAGATGCTCCTGTTTGGTGCGCAACTGGATTCGAGCTTGCGTCTCTCTCTCTCTCTCTCTCTCTCTCTCTCTCTCTCTCTCTCTCTCTCTCTCTCTCTCTCTCTCTCTTTCTCGGGTTACACTGTTGGGGTCCGAAATTTTGGAAGTCAAAATTTGGGGTCACGTTATCCTGCTCTTTCATGAGAATCACGTGACGAGATTTTTTTAATATATATTTTTATATTTTTTTTAAATTAATGCTGCGCGGCATTTTTGCTGGAGTCCACGTAGTACGGAGGCAACATTGGAGAGGTTGCTTGCTTGCTTGCTTGGCGCTTCGATGAAAAAAAAAGAGATTTTTTAGGAGGTTTTTAAAATTTTATTTATTGGGATGAAGGATGTCCGTAATTTTTCACTCGCGCTTGCTTGCTTGCTTGGTTGGCGGTTGGATGGAAAAAAAAGAATTTTGGGAGGTTTTTAAAATTTTATTTATTTTTTCCCTGTTTTCCAGAGTTTTTATGTTTTCTTCTTTTCCAAACTGTGCTCAGTTCTTTTTTTAAGTCTTTCAATACTGTATTTTGTAATTTTTGTTTTTCCATAAATGTTTCTTTTTTTTTTTCGCCTAAATTGCGCTCAGATGTTTTTGTTTTTGGGTCGTCAAATGTTGTTTTGGTTTTGGGTCATCAAAAATGTTTCTTTTTCTTTTCTTGGATTTTTGAAGTCTTGAATTCTCTCTTTTTTTCCCCTCAAGGATATTTGTTTCTCTTTTTCAAAATCATGTTTTCGGGTTTCTTCGAGTCTTTTCATGTTTTTCCTAAAAGGTGTTTCTTTTTCTTTTCTAGAATATCATGCTCAAAATTTTTTGTTTGGTCTTCCCCCGCACCCCCCCCCCCCAAAGG